AGAAACATAAGGATTAAATTTCTCCGCAAATACTCAAGAGCCTAAAAAATTAGAGAAAAGAGTCTTGGCAATATTCAGTTGAGTTTTGTCAGGTCCAAAGTGTTTTAAAACTATGTTTTGATACTTTCAGGAAATCAAAACCTCGCTCTTTATTAAAAATGTTTGATCATTGTTTATTACAAATCTAAGCTGAGATTGGATATTGTTCTCAAGTTTTATTGGTAATAAACAAATCAGAAGTCTTTAGGAGCAGGACCACAGATTTACTTTCATAAATAATGTTTATACCATTAAGAGCTTCATTGCAGCACTGTTTATGAACAGTGTTTGCTATAGTTATAAAAATTTAAATCAGAGATAAGAATAAATAATAAAAGCAAAAATAGAAAACAATTTCTCAGGTTTTCAAATGTTGTCATTTCCTAGAGCTTTTATGTCTCAGTGATATTTTCAGTGGAGCCCCTCAGCCAAAAAGAAAAACAAAACAAAATAACTTCTAATAGTTTCATTTATCAAGTAGTGAGGTCTATAGGACATAATAACTGTTAATATCCTAATGCTTAGTCATTGGAAGAAAGCTGCTATATGTAAATTAAAAGAAAAATATGTTAAATTACTCTTCGATAACCACAGTCTTTTAGTTATGGGTCACGTATTCTACTCGATTACCTCACAACTTCTCAAACTTTGAAATCTGGTTGGACAGTGGGAGCTTCATTTCTCACATTCCGCACTGATTTTCTAAAATCTATTGTGGAAAATAGCAGACAAATCAGCCTTACTAAGACATAACATCACTGGCAAGAATGTAGTCTAATCTCATGCTGGAACTGGGAACCAGCTTAAGATAATAATTCAAATGGTGTCCAAGAGATGCTGAAAGTTTCTGTGTTTCTTTTGAAAATGCAAAATACACGATACCACTGATGTGAGTTTACTGTGGCAACCGGAGCACTTTAGAGCACAATCTAGCAACTGTGGGTTTTATGAATTGCCTTATCTTGCAACCACGTTAGTAATTTTAACATCATCTTATTCATAATAAAATAAGTATTGATAATAATGGAATCTAATATCAACAAAACAAGTAATTTTATTGACTGAATAATAATATTTATATAATTAGTAGTTTTATATTTTAAAATGGTGGAACTTAAAATTCAGAAGTTCAGAAAACTACTGAGACTTATTTTTTCCCATAAAAAAGTAATAGACTTTCGTGAAGTAACATTAACTAAAGTTTTACTAGAATATTGTTTTGGCTTTAAGACTAAGTAGGCAGGTAGATAGAGGAATAAAAATATCTGTATTAGAAACTTCAATGGATGCTTTTTAAAGAGGGACTATGTAAAACAGTAGATTATGAAAAAAATAACATTTATTCATTTTTGTATCCAAAGTACAAGTTATGTCTACAGTAACTATAATTCACAGTCATATTGCAGAGAATTTCTCAGAGACATTAAATACCAGCTTGTCTTTAAGTTGACCTACCACCATTTCTTTTTTCAGGCCAGGGGTACAAATACAAAGAATCAAGTCTTGACTGAAAGCTTGAGTTAATGGCAGTCATTTGACATGGAAGGCAAATAATGATAAGGCTAAAAATGGTCCACATAAAAACTGCAGACAGAATTTCTCATCAACTGACTGAAAATCTACTATGTTCTAGTACTGTTTCAGATACTCAGAATACAGCAGTAGATGATCCTTATCCCTACACAACTTTCATCTTAATGAAGGAGAGAGATAAGAAAAACACCAAATAAAGAAAATAATGTAAATGTAAATTATACATACTAAAGAAAAATTAGTAAATAGAAGGTCATAGGAAGAGTGGAGAATTACATTGGATACTTTCTCATTGCTGGATGAATATAACTGAAAACTGCAACTTAAAGAAGATGTCTGAGTTACTTTCTCATTGCTGGAACAAAATATCCAACACTCAAAGGAGAAGAGGTTCATTTCAGCTCACAGCTTGTAGAGGTTTCAGTCCATAGTCTGTTGCCTTCAAGGCAGAGCCTCATGGCAAAGGGTCATTACAGTGGAGAGACAGTCCATGTTATGGAGGCGGGAGCAGCAAGCAGTGACCAGTAAACAGTGAGCAGCAACAGCAAGCCTCCCTTTCCCTTTTATACATCCAACTACAACCATTTAGGTGGTGCCACTCACACTCAGGGTGGGCCTACCATTTCTCACACCCAGAACTACGCAAACCAATCTATCCCATCACACGCTCATGATCCAAACACCTCCCCAAAGCCCCACTTATGACCATGTGAGGCTTCAGGGAACATCTAGATACAAGGCACAACAGGAATAGAAGTTTATTTTGGCCAATTTTCAAGGATACAGCCCATGGGTGGCAACCTCACCACTCTACTATGGCCCATTATAACCCACATGGATTTTCTTTTACTCTGGTTGTATTTCTAAGCAGTTGTCCATCCTCCTGGAGTCTCCAAATTTGTGGGTCTCCATTCCATCTTCAGCTTCTCTCTCATAGCTTCATGCTGTACTGCCCAACCCCCTTTGAAATCTGTGTGGAAACCTCACTGAGCCCATAACTTTTGCACACTACATGCCTGAAAAACCAGCATCATGTGGCTAACACCAAGATCTGCTGCCACCTCACCTGTAGTCAGGCCCCACTGGATCATATCTGCATCCATCAGTCTCTGAGTGCCTGGATGGCTGAGCACTAGGAATCAATTTCCTACCAGCTATTCTGACCAGACAGTTCCAAGACTTTCTTCCAAAATGAAAGATTTAGAGTTTTATGCCCTTGAACTTGCACAAGGTAGGGTCATGCTAATTACTGAGATGTCTTTCAGCCATCTCTCCAATTTTCCTGATGCAAAGTACTTGGATGCTGTTACTGCTTATCTTTTCAGCAGCCATGTGTTTCTTTGCCCCAGCTCTGCCTGTGTACTTTCCACATCTGCTTTTTGTTCTTGACTTTCACTGTAGATGGAAACCAGCAGTACCCATTCCACATTTTGAATATTCAGCTGCCTTGAACTTTCTTCTGCCAGATCCATTACTCTGCTACCTTTAAACTTAGTTTCATACAGTGTGAAGACACAGGCAAAATGTAGACAACTTTTTGGCCAGAGTGCAATACAAATGACCTCTACTTCAACTGCCAATGGAGTCCTTCTTCCCAGCTGAACATCATGAGATTGCCCTTTGTTAGCTACTTGTTAGCTAACACCAATCTGGTCTTCTAAGCCTTGACCAGCACCACTCATCAAGTTCTGCCTATAGCAATCTGGTGCCTCTTTGGCCCACTTCTCCAAAGCATTTTGAGCTCTCCCAGAAAGTATTGCCAAAGGTTTCTAAATCATCCAGTCAGGTATAGTCACAGCAACAACCCTACCTGTACCAATTCCCTTTATTTGTTACTTTCCCAATGCTGGCACCAAGTACCTGACACACAAAAATGTTAAAGGAGGAGTTTGTTTTGGCTCATGGTTTTCAAACAATTGTATCCATATTGGTTGTCTGCAAGGCAGAATGATGGTGGAAGGACTTGCCACAGGACAACTGCTTCCCTCGTGGCAGCCAGGAAGCAGGAGGGGGAAGAGACAGGGACAAGAATATACTCCTCCAGGTCATCCCCATAGTGACCCACCTCCCACCAGGCCCACCTCCTAACTGCACATTCAGCTACAGACTTATCAGTGAATGAATCCACCAATAAATGTAGCATTTCCATGATCTGATCACCTTCCAAACCCAGGAGGATTTGGGGTACATTTCAGATCTAATCCATGACAGAGAAATGTGTCTTTGAATGTAAAGGCCAATGAACCTGAAACAAACAAAGTAAGAAGGAGCATAGTAGAAGAAAAGTCAGAGAGGTAGCAAGGAAGCCAACAAGGTTGGGCTACAGTAACTTGGAATTTTGATCAAGTAGAAAGTCTTAGGAGGACTCTGAGAGAGGTCTCAGCGGGGTCCCTTTGGCCCAGGGTCTCTCCAAAGATACAGTCAAGGTGTTAGTGTTGTACTCATTTCAAGAAACACCTGTGGAAGGAACCACAAAACCACAGTTTCCACATGGCTGGAAGAAGGAACACGATGATGTTATCAGAACCCCTTGAATGCATGCTACTAGTAGGCTGTTTTCCAAACATACTAATGGTATAGTCTCAAGAGAGTCGGTCCATGGCTTCAGCAGAATATGCTTGGTCTATTTGTTGTTTCTCTTTGTTTTTTTAATTTTTGTTTTTGTTTTTGGTACCGGGGATTGAATTCAGGACCTTGTGCTTGCGAGGCAGGCACGGTGCCACTGAGCTAAATTCCCAGCCCTGTGCTTGTTCTTTTATAGTTTTCATGTGATAAAACATGAATCTCTGGGCTATGGGATAGGATGCCTGGGAGAATGTCACATGAGCTCTGTAACTACCAGAGAAACTGAACAGAAATATTTTTAAATTGAAATAACTTTGCTATGGTTTTAAGGCTCTGTGGCTCTAAATTTTAAACGTTAAAATTTTGAACAATGACGTGATTATGTTATGAGGTGGAGGCTTTTAGGAAAACATTACATCATGAGATTAATTTCCTTATAAAAGGTGTGAAGGAGCTGGCTCCCACTGCCTGTCACATGGGCAAACACAGAGAAAGTTCTGTCTGGGAAGTAGAAAACAGGCAACCACTAAATATTACATGTTCTTTACCTCAAACTTGGGCTCCTGTCCTTCCACAACTGTGAGAATAAATTCCATTTTTGTCATTTGTCAGCTGTCCAGTCTGAGGTATTTTGTTACAGCTTCCAAAATTTACCAAGACAAACCTGCCTTACAAGGATGTACAATATTTAAGGATCTCATGTGTTAATCAGTGTCAGAATTTGTAGGATGCAACAAATAGAAAAATCTGAGAATGAACACTAAGCATCTTAGATCTCTTCCTGCTTTTGTACCTCCCGATAATTTGTATTTTTTGCAATAATTACTTAAGCCTCATAATTTTTTTTAGTTGGATCCTGGATATATTGCCCAGGCTGGCCCTGAGCTCCAGGGTTCAAGTAATCTGCCTGCCTCAGCCTCCCGAGTAGCTTGGACTACAGACACACACCCTCACACCTGGTAAGATCTTTGATTTTTAAGTTATATGACAATCTTTAGGTTACCTGAGTACTCATCCAAAGCAGAAAAAAAAATGCATAATGATCATAATGATAGAGTGGAGTGAAATTTTCAAATAATATCAGAAGTATCTCTAGAACAAGACTTTTGACAACACTTAATGAACACTTCTGTTTGATTTTTTTTATCTACATGTGTTTTCTGCAAAATATATACTGAATATTTGGATGAATACTTATATAGAGAGAATTTTTCATTTTTTAATTTTGAAGTCAAATAAAAAGCTGGAAAAGAATCAGCTTTGCAAACAATTTTTAGTATCTATCAAATTATTAGATGGCAATTTCTTAAATAGGAAGTTGAAAGAAAGGGGGAAAAAAGTGACAAAATATTTTTTTTTAAAAATCCATAGCCAAAGTACACATTTAAGAAATAAGTTTGTGTTAAACAGATTTCTGTTGTGTGTTGACAGATATCTGACATAACCAACTATAAGGAGGAGAATGTGTTGTGTTTCATGGTTGCAGGCGTTGTAGTCCGTGGTTCTTTGTTTTTAGGCAGAAGAAGGACTCTAACTTTGCAGTCACCAGCAAGCAGAGAAAGCAGGAAGTGAGCCAGAGAGGAAGGGACCAGGGACGACCACTGTCCCTGAGGTCACCACTGTCAACGGGGCTGCACCCAACAACATTCCCAGTGATGCCCTGAAAGTTTGCATCCATCAGTGGATGGACTCACAGATGCAGGTGGGGTCCTTATTGTCTCATTAGTTCGCAGAGCTCATCAGCAGATCACTCTGGAACACAGAGAGCTTTCTGAGGACTGACCCTGTCCCAGCCCACAACAAGGCCACAGTTTTTCTCTATCAAATAGGAAGGACATTTTTTTCTAAAGTATAATGCCTAATTTTTTGGGGGGTGGAATATAGTCATCTCACTGCTAGTATACGTTTACAAGCATTTCATATACACAGGACAATTTCAAATTTTATGTTATGACTTTTTAAAGTGCTATGTCTTAACCAGATATTTTTACTTTTATATATATGTAGTGTAATGTTCTGAGATATAGAGAGACTGATGCATAAAAATGTTAGCAACACATGCAATAAATATAACTGTCCCAAAATATGAGAATTTCTGTAAACTATGACATTTTCCTAAAGTCCATACAATCTAACAAGTTAAAATCACATATAAGAATCACTATCATTAAAAAAGAACCGTGATCATAATTACTATTTACTAATGATAACTAATACTCTGTTTCTTAAACGTCAGGCAGTGTTTTCATGTCAACGTAATTGAAGTATGCTGAGACTTGGGCCTTATTAAAAGCAGAAATTTATGGACTGATGGATTGTAGACAACTTTCATTATCTCTTTTAGACTTTTGGGTTATTTAAAGTTTTCTATCATAATATTTTGGTGTAATAATCATGGAGAACATATTGGAAAATTAAAAAGAACTAAAATGCTTCCATTTTGTGTTAAAGTCTGAATCATCTATGAGATGTTAAGTCCATCTCTATGTGTCCTACAGCAGCAAAAAACAAAGCCAAAAATACAAAGGTTTCCTTTTTCTTCCCCTCCTACTTCTTTCCTTTAAGTTGGACATGAGGTTTTCAGGTGAAAAGGTAAAGTAGATACTCGTGATGAACGCGTTTAAAAAGAAGGGGTTGGTATTTGAAGCCTGCTCGGACCCTCCACCCCAAGAGTGGTTGCATGGCCCTGAAGGGGTGGCATTCTAGAAACACAGTTATCCACTGCCCTCACTGAAGTAGGAGACTATGCTGGACGCTGCGGTACACGGTTGAATAAGTGAGTTCCCTGAGGAAGAAGCAATAGCCAACCACCTGCTTCTGCTGCTCTCTGAATTCACTGCCCCCAGGCAGGTTTCATCACTGATCTCCCGCACTGTTCTCCAGAGAACTACCCAGTCCCATCCGTCCTACACAGTTCACTTAGAACTTGCAACATGCACAAATGAGCCAACAAAAAAAAGTTAAGAAACGGAAACAAGAGGAAATTACAAACTTATTTCTATTTCTTTATTCATAAACTAGAGAATACCCTTTACCAAGGTTTCCTCTAGTCCCGTCTTAGGCAAGAACAATGTAGCTCTCGTTACAGAGCAAGAGTAAGCTTCAAAATACGTTAAAGAACTTGATCCCTGCCTGAGGAAATTTAGGTGAGCTAACTGATGATAGAAAGGCAGAGGAGCCCTTGCACTGCAGTACTGCAATGTGTCTTGCATGTTGATTGGGCTGGATGGCTGTGAAAGGATCTTTCATCTGCAGTCGGCCAGGGCCCCACGATGCACTACTGCTAGGCCTTCTCTCTACCTCGTTCCCATCCCTTCTATTTGGTTTGTTGTATGTTTGAAAATACTCGCAGTGCCAGGCTCTAAAATAGTCAGCATCCATTCCAGTAGCTTTTCCAAAAAAATCATGTTTAGTACGTTTTCTGTACATAGTAATTGTAACTGTCTTTGTGAATTAGCACGTGTAGATACTACATCTTGATCATTTTTTCTCTCCCCTGTTACAAAAGCATCTTACAAATTATGAAACTATACAAAAGTAAAAATTTATTTGGCATTTCTGCTCTTTGATATTTCTTCAATGACAGAGTATTTTGTATTTTTAACTATGGCCTGGTCCCATGTGATCACTTGGTTTAATTAGCTCCTGGCCAGATCAAAGAGGTGCCATCTACAGCAACCATAGCGAATTTAGCATAGAATGCAAGTGCCAAAATATTGCAGATTAAGAGTTTCACATGTGCGATTAATAACCTACTAAGTGACAGCAATGTATCATTTAATTTGGTGTGAAGCATGCATCTGGGTAATCAGACACTGACACTGTAAATGACTTGTTTGTTATGATGTTGCTTCTTGTGTGTTTTAGGTGTTAACCATCAGAGTTTATAGAATAAACCCGGAACACTGAAGAGAGCAGCTCATCTGGCGAAGCTACTTCAAAAGTAGGAAAGGGAAGAAACATTATGTCACTGTGTGTGCTGCCTAGGAGTGCACTTCTCACTGCTGCCTTAATTAAAACTGTTGAATCATTCTGATGTCTGCACGTTCCTCTTCCAACACCAATGGTTTATGTTATCATGAGCCAACTCATTATCACCTTCTTTAGCTTTCCTTTAAATTTATTGATTTAATTTCATGAATTTGCAGCAATAAATGTGCAAGTTCAAGGCATCCAATTTCATATTTCAATTTTCAAAATCAAACTGTTAAACATAGAGTGTTAGCTCAAATAGAGTTCTGAACTGAGTGCAGGTATGGACTACTGTTTCATTTCAAATAATTTCTAAATGGAAGGATGAGCGAGAGATTTTTTAAATTAATTTTTGCACATTTGGCATATCGATAGTTTCTCTGCCAATCTTATGATTTCTCTAAATTACATGTTTAATTCATAGTCATTTGTTTGGGAAGAATATTACATATGTATTGGTGTTAAATCCTATCAATATGCTTATAAAAATATAATAAAAAGAAGTATGGGATATAATAAAATAGAAACAGAAAAATCTGATCTTAAAAATGTGAACTCTTTTAGTTGTTTTTGGATTTCAAATATAAGTATATTTTCTGTGGGAAGTTTTGTTAGAAAATATAAGTGATACAATCAACAAGCATACAATATTTATCAAATTAATAAAACTGAGGAGTTTATCAATCATAAAATTTTGAGGACAGTTTCTCAACTATAATATCTAACTTTGTTTTATTTGTAAATATGTTATTTCGAAAACATTATATGAAAAGAAAATGAGAAAGAACATATAATGTTTGAAGATCATATCAAATTAATAATGTAATTGGATTATCAGTCTGTGTTGCATAAATTTTTGTTTATTTCATATCATTTTTGCTGTCATATACATGTATATTTGAAATTTTTATTTAGTATCTTCATTTCTTATTGTCATGTATGTTTGCAATCTTTAATAAAAAGCTTTTTTAAAAAATTAATTTTTGAAAGAGTTTCTTTAAATCAAGTACTACTAAGGATGAAGAAATTGTGGATGGACATATTTAATTATATACTCATATACTTGTAATACATTATGCTAAATCAATATTTTCACTGCATTTATTCTGCACAAATAAGTACAGATTTATGTGACCAATGCCCCCCAAATGAAGAAATGCAGCCATTTGAAAGGGGCAGACACAGCAGCTTCTCGGTTCACTGACCCCAATCACCATTCTGCAAGGAGGCTGAAATTGACCCCAAACAGAAAATGCTGCAAAGCAAGAGAAGAAAGTGGACTGAAATGGTCCCAACAGTGTCCACGATGATTTGGGGGTACTTCCTCTCTCCCTCCCCCCAGTGATTTTCCTCTGGCCCTTTCTAATCAGTCAACATCACCTGTGGATACAGCTGCACCACATTTTTTTCTCAATCTGCATTGCTTTGCAAACTCTAGGATCTCCTATGTTTTTTTGCACGATAATATTGACTTCTCATTTGATCATCACATGAAGACCAATATTAACTCTTCTTAGAGACATGTCCAGAAGCATATTTTTCAGGAATAATTATCAATGGGAAAGAGAGCTATTTATTTTTATGTTTAAATGCCATTGTCATAAAAACAACACCATTGAGTATATTCTGCAAGCTTTTAAGTCCATGAAGAGACAAAACTACAGATTTCAAGTAATCAGTCTCATTCAATGTTTCTAATTCCTACCTGACTATGGAGATGGACTGATCACGTGACCCTAGAGATCAGCTATAAAGTCAGGTCTGTCCATATAAACCCAAATCAATTCAGACACGAGGCACGCTGTTTCCTGCACATGCACATGCATGAAAACTGCAGATACAAGGCTAAAAGATGAACTTTCCCTCACATTTCAAAAGACAATAGAGTATCTTTGTTGAGGTTAAGAGTGGTTGACTCATCAGACATCTTTACTGGAGGCTGTAAGTCGCGGCCTTAGAATCTGAGCGGGAATGGCAGGAAGAGTGACAGTAGGAGAAGCAGGTGCACGCACGGGAGGTAACAAGTGATGCAAATCATGGTGGTGGTGAGAAATAGTCAGAAAAGCTACAGAGATTTTCCTAAGCACAGAAAGTAACTTGGAAAACTTCTTCTTAAAGAGCATAACTATTTTTTATAAAACTATAGTAGAAGTTAAAATAAAAAAGTTGGAAGATGTAGCTGGAATTGTTGATAGGGGTGAGCTCTATGAGTGTCTTGCCTGTTAAATTGAGCAAAGAGACTTGATCCTCTGAATGCTCTTTTTCAAGCAAGAATCATCACAGTGACACTGTTCATTCCAGTGTATTTTCTCCTCATTATTGTCATAACACAAATTCATGAACTTACAGTTCTTCAGGTCAGAAGTCTCACGACGCTCAAAGATATCAGCAAAACCACATTCCTCTCCTGAAGCTCTAGAAAGCTTTGCTCTTTTAGTTGTTGGCAGAATCCAGTGCATTGTGGTTGTAGGATGGAGATTCATATGTTCTTTCTGGCTATAAGTTCAAAGCTCTTCTTGGGTTTTAGAAGCTACCTGCACTCCTTGGCTTGGGGACATCTTCAAACCCAGCAATCGCTGCCCGACATCTTCAAGGCCAGTGGTGACCAACTGAGTGCTGGTCACACACGAGGTCTTTCCTTCTTCTTTTGTCATCACAAGACTGGAAATACTCTGCTTTCAGTGACTCGGGTAGTTGTATTTTATTCTCAGGATAGTTTATGACAATTTCCTTTTCTTCACCTCCTTTCCTGGTCAATTGATTAGCAAACGATTCTGCCAGCAACCTTATTTCTATGTTGTCATGCAATATAACATAATCACAGATTCTAAGGAGTGGAGAGGAACTCCTCTGAACTGTCATTATTCTGTATACAAAAGGCTTACAGCCGTCTCAAGATTTCCAAAGGTGTCATCTTATTATAGTGTCAACTGACGGTCAAAAAATCCACTGGCTGGGTGTGGTGCGCATGCCTGTAATCCCAGCACTTGGGAGGGAGGCTGAGGCAGGAGGATCACTGTGAGTTAGAGACCAGCCTGGGCTACATAGTGAATTCTAGAGCAGTCTGAACTGCATAGTGAGACCCTGTCTCAAAAAATGAAAAAAAAAAATCCATCGAATTCTAATCAACTCAATAATCCTTATCTTGAAATCTAAATTCCTTAAATTAGGTGCAACAGAGGTAACTGATATATAATCAGCCTGCTGTGAAATTCTTCACACCACAGTTCTCAGAAAGAGAAAAAGAAGTTATCTGCTTGTAAGTCAGGTATAGGATGAAATTTACATGGATTCTATTTCAAAGGAAAAGGCAAAAAGGAGTCATCAATTCCCTTCAAAAAAACAAAATCGCCTTAGAAAATACCTAAATTGCCACGAACAGAATGTAGATAAAAATATCAACACAGAAGGTGCTGTCAGTGGAGGTTTGGAAGGAATGAAAAACATACCGCTCGGAAACTAGAGCAAAGACCTTCCCGATTACACAGTGACAAATAGCGAACAATCGTGTCCTGTATGGACCCAATTATATGGCAAGCAGAATTTGAAGAGCTTGGATCTTTAGCTGTGGAGACTTTTTTGTGAGTGCTGAAAAATAAGACTGATAAAATTTCAGATAAGAAGCATAAGCAGAAAGAAGAAAGATACAACTTGAGAAAGACTCAGTGTTGCTGCTGCCAGTGGTGAAGATAGGGCCAGGAAGCAGGGAATGCGGATAGCGTCCGCAGATACGGATGGATACGGATCCCAGTTTCCAAAGAGTAACAGCGAATATCAACTTCACCTACTACTGATGCGATGCAGAAAATAACAGCTGCGTATCTGACTCATTGATGTTTTCACAGTTCTCTTGAACAGTTTTTATCACCATGGCAATGTATCTTTATCTAAACCAAATAGCTCACTAAACAACTAAATAACAGAAAATGGGGTGAGCAGAGCAGGCATGTGGAAAGTAACAAACGCATTCTGAATTTATTGCATAAACTTCTAGTAGATAAAAATTGCATATCACTTCCTCAAAACTGCAAGTACTTTCTTACGTTGGCATGTTTTGGGGGATAAAATTTAAAACTACGTCTACATGTTCATATGGAACAGGCTACATTGGCCAACAATAAGGATAGAGTTGAAATTACTACTTATAAAGATACTTAATAATAGCACATAAATTGTGAACACCCTTACCAAGTGCCAGTATAATGTATTACATATATACTGATAAAAATGTACTGAACGTATAAATTACCATCTTCTTTCCCAGTAACATATGTTTCTGAGTTTTTTAACAGAACATAAAGTAACATAGGGATAAGGAGTATCTCCAACTATTCAATAAAGCCAAGAATCTCAACGCATATTTCAAATATGCTTATTTTCAGAAAATTAAAACATAGTCACTCAGCATACTTTTATGCAAGTAGTTATTGAGGATCATTTACCCCAGGAAAAACTGATGACCCTAGTTTTATTTTAGGCAATGCAAGTTATCACTTAAAAGCACAGAAAAAAGTCTTTCTATAAGTTAGTAATGTGTTGTTAGTCTTCGTTACAAAAAGGAAATCCCTCTTCCCCAAAAAAGAAAAAAAAAGGGGGGGGGCTGGGGATTTGACTCAGTGAGTCCACTGCCTGCCTCACAAATGCAAGGGCCTGCATTCGATCCCCAATGCAAATAAAAAGAAAGCAAACAGAATAAAGAAATGTAGGACTAGTTGCAAGTCAGCAGATGCTCTGCTGGATTCTGTACGGTGCTGCGCCTTGTTGAAGTAGACCCGCGTTGGGAGAAGGATCATCAGGGAAGCCGGCAGGGGCTCACTGAATGCAGGCGATTTCTTCACAAGCTTCCTCATCGGATATGTTCCACTGAACTCTGATAGTAACAGCAGAAGTAGAAGGAAACAGTTGAAGCCGAGCTTTCCAGCAAAAGGCCTTGCATTTCCCCAGCTGAGACGTGGTCCTCTCCCGTCCGCCTCTGCCGCCTCCTGCTCAGCACAAGTGGCCTTGCGGACCCCAGCCCCTCCAGGTCTGCACTCCTCTCCAGAGTTCCCTTCTCCACTTCCTGCTCTGCCACTGGTCCTTGTCCCTTGCCCACCCAGAGCGCTCTATTCCCAGACTCAACAAAAACAGATCAGCGTCAACTGATCAGCCAAGGACAATCCATTTTTCAGATGACTCCTTTGAAAAACCCTCAAAGGACATCCAATGTGTGACCAAGCCGAACATGGAATTTCCAGCCTCTTGCTCTGGTGCTCTCATTATACACGATACCTTCCTTTTTTGTCTTCTCTATCACATGATGTCATGTGTAGCAGAAAAGAAGACAAACGCCTCTTATCTTTGAAAAGAGTTTTTTTTCTTCCTAAGTGCTTAGTGATACTAACAAGGCTTCAAGATAACAGAGCCGTGATCAGTGGAGCACAGTCCAGTGGTGGAGCCCTTAGTATATTCCACACCAGAGGTTAGTGGTCTAAAATAGATCAGATATTAAATCGTACTCACTGCAGAAATTCCCTTTTCTGTTGCTGAAATCAAAACCACAGATGCTGAAAACAAGTGAGGAGAGGACTGGGAAAGACTGGTCGGTGAGTCCAGAGCCACAGTTGAGCAGAAGCAGGAAGCTCTGCTGAGCTGCTGCCCGGGAAGAAGTTCGCTGCTTAACTGGGATTCTGTGACTTTCTCCACTTCTATGATTTAGATCTAAACTACTCGCCGAACACATAAGTGTCTGGAGGGTAATCGCATCACAGCATGCGGCTGTTATGCTCTCTGAGCTAAAACGAGCCTGTCTTCCTGTTAAATTGTGGGTTTCAGGTGTCTTGTTGCAGTTGGCGGGAAGCGAATAAGACATTTTGTTTTGTTCTCAACCCACCTTTACCTTATGCACAATGACATCAGGAGAATCAATATTATCCTGGGAATGTACAATTTCATATGCATAGAATGATGCATGTCATAAGGTATTGCTTTTCTTCTACACAAAATTCTCTTTATTACTTTTTGTGTCAGTTATTTGGGATGAATATTTTCAGTTGTTTCAGCAGCATCACATGATTCCCTACTGACCTGTACAGGTTTTATGTTTTTATGTCTCACAGTTCAATTGACACAAATAGAAAAGGCCTTTCACAGGCCAACTGTGTATGTACAAAAGACTCTGTAGTCACAGAGTAGCTCTTCCCTGCTTCCAAAGAGCAGAGAGACCGAAGAGGAAGGAGAGGGAGCACAGCAACGCTTCTCGCTGACTTTTCTGTTTTTGCCGGGCATCCAGCTACGACAGCTTACAGAAAATGCATGGGTCTCCCTGCTTTGGATCCAGTTCACAAAACAGAAGGACTTGGTAGGAGTAAAAAGAATTGCCTTTTGTTTTAATTCCCCAGAAGAATGTATTCAAATAAATTTCTATGGGGAGATAATTAAACAAAGGAATCAAAAGGTATTAATGAAATGAACTATGTCGTGGGACTGTAGGGAATCTAGCACGCAGTGCAGTGGTCTCAGGATTTTAAACAGATTGAATATTAAAGCTTACCTCAGACATCCTAACATCATTATCATATTTACAATTGTAATATTTTTAAATAAAGCCATGTGAACAATAGGCAGCTAGGACAGGGAGCCGAGTAAACTGAGACAAGCCTGGGGAAGACACAGGAGAGGGGCTCCCTGAGGTCTGCTGCAGGAGGCTGGGAAGGGGCAGCTGTTCTCCTAACATCATTGGCCTCACTACGAAGGCCAAGCACAGTATTTCAAAGGACAAGGGCCTGAGGAAATTGAGATAAGCCCTGAAGGTTGGGGTACAAGGGGAGTCAGAGGCCTAGCCTAAATGAACAGCTACATTCAACGTCTCACGTTTGTGCACCCACCAAATGGTCCAACAAAGTACGTGTAAAACCTGATCGTGAGTGCCTCCTCTGTGTCCTCTGTTGGAGCCCCTCTTGGTTAAGAAGAGCTCTGCTATCTTCATTCTAATGAACCACACTTGGTTCATTCTCCAGACATCACACTTTGTCATCTTCAGAACAAGAACTCAGAGGGAGAGACAACTGGTTACAGTTTCACGTCCCAGGTGTTGATAGATTTTAGTTATTAGTAAGCAAAGATCTAAATATCTTGCATTAAAGATAAGATGTAATAAAGTTCCAGAAAGCATAAGACAAAAAACTGTCCATAATTCTGCTGTATTCCTTTAGAACATGAAGAATTATGGAAACTTCCAGAATAATAAACTATTGTCATCTTTCTTTTAAAAAATAAATCTTGTGAATAGACATTTCTCCAAAGAAGTACAAATGGCTAATAAGTACATTTTAAAAAGCTCAATATTCTTAGCCATGTGGGAATTGCAAATCAAAACAGCACTGAGATTCCATCTCCCTCCAGTCAATGATTATGCTCAAGAACACGTAAAAAAACTGCTGGTGAGGTTGTGTGAGAAAAGTTTTCCTCTTCTGTGTCGTTGGTGAAAATATAAACTAGTACAACCAATATGGAAATTCTTCAAAAAAGTAAATGTAACAATTCCATTTGAAAAGAAAAGTTCCACTTGATCCAGCTATGCCTCACATAGGTATATACTCAAAAAAGTCATTATCCTATAGTGACATGTACATGCTCATGTTTATAGTGGTACGATTCACAATAGCTAAGCTCTGGAAACGGTGTAGATGCCCATTAACACACAAATGGATTTAAAAACTGGGTATATGCACACAATAGAATTTTACTCAGCTATGAACATGAATGAAATCATGTGATTAAAAAAAAGGATGAATTTTGAGCCCATAATGATAGGTAAAATAATTCAGAAACAGAAAGTAAATTATAACATGGTTTCCCTTATACAAGAAACACAAAGCACAGCTACAAGAATAAAATAAAGAAGAGATAGTAGGAAACAGGGAGGCAGAATTTTTGGAGATTGGGAAGGGAGAGAGAAACAAGTAGGGAGTAGAGGGGAAGGGGATCACAATGACTAAGATAGAATATGCCTATGTACTAATTTCCAAAAGGAGTGTGAATACTACATGTCGTGAAAAAATATACATACAGACATACGTAAGTCAAGAAACAATCTTAAAATGTCACGGAACTGCAAATCTCTGCTAAGTGGTGTTCCATAACTCAGACTTAAATGTTTAAGTATAGAATGATTTTTATATAACCTCTAGATTATGAAGTAGTGTTGAGTTATTAAAAAATGAAGATTTTTAACAACTACCATTGACAGGAAAAATGCATAAGACACATTAACTGTGGAAAATGGGATGCATAAATCAGTACCTTTTGCAAGCTTTTTGACGTATATAAGAATACATTACATAACATCTGTAGGCTCTGTAAGTTTTGCATTACGCGGATTTATATTCTCTTTCATTTCTTACAGTAGTCTCTAAATTTCTATTGTAAGTCTTTACAACCAGAAAAAAACACACAAACATTAAAAAATAACCAACCTAAGAACTGATCTAAAAATGGGATTTTTACCCATTATTTTAAATAGTTTGTTAAAACTCATTTACAGATAAAAAAGAAAAAAGCCATAAATTAAAGACCCATAAATAGGACTTGACAATAAATTCATAACCTACATTAGGAAAGTTTTGGTCAAATAAAACAGTGAGTCTTAAATTCAGTATCTGATAAATTAATCAAATAGCAGCCTTCATGATCAGGTGAAAAAAATCACATATTTTTGAAAAAATGTTAAGAATTGTAGACAATGATGCCCAAGAGCACTAATTTAGTGATTTACGTACTCAGTAGGCAAAATGTGTGTATTTCTGTAAACCACACAGTGACCAGCTTCTCAGAGAGGAATGTTGATTTTCGTCCTGAAGTGTCATTGCCATGACTACAACTCCCCAGAGAATGAATCCAGGCTTCTGTGAGAAGCGGTATTTATTTTTAAATGAGGGCTTCATTGACACATACATCCTTGCAAAGGTGGAACTCAGTGATTTATGTGTGAGCAGGAAAAGATCGGAATCTTATCCAGGTTTCACAGTCCAAACGAATCAGAAATTCGAAGACATTTACCTTCCATTCTGGGTGATAACACATCCTCACACGTACTTTCCGATGATTGCCACAATTTTCTCCTTCAGTTTGGCTGCCAATTCCCCAATTCTCCACATACTTTTTTTCCCATCTGGCCTCTGGGCACAGGAAGGGCTGAGATTATGCAAACTCAGCGCTTGCAGATTCCGAAAATGAACAGCAAACAGATGCAGGAAGCCAAGACACAGCCAGGAGAGGCCCTTGGTTACAGCAGAATTGCTAGCAACTCCAGAAAACCCTGTGTCATCATGGATTTTCAGGTGGCCAAGGAGTGTTCTGAGAGGTTTTGCATTGAAAGCAAGTAAATGGGGGAAAAAAAAAAACTCATTTGGAAAATCTGAAGTCTGAACGGCCATGACAGGCTGGATAAACACATTCCGTGATGACTCACTGGATGGGTGTTGTAATTGTGGATTATAAATTGATCTTCTTTATTGAGCTCTTTCTTTTTTTCCTCTATTTCTTTCTAAAGCACAAAGTAGATTTATGGCCCAAACTCAGGACCAAACTCGGAAACTTGCACTTGCAAGGCAGGTGGCAGAACCACTAAGCTAAATCCCAGGCCCAACCCTATCCATTTTTTGACTCAAAGAATCCACGCAACTTAAATAAAGTGTGAATATTTTCCTTCTAAGTCCATTTTTCCATTGTACAGTGAGCTGAGAAGTTTACCTCATTTTTCATTCTGCATATTTTATTTTCTTTCTTTACAAATGAGCTGAGAATAACGGGTTCAGAAAAAAAACCCTTCAATTACAACTCCAATGCCGACCCACCATTTAACCATGGGCCAAATGTGTCCTACTGTGAACCTCCGACTTTCAGCCAAGAAGACAGAGGGAGATGAAGCTCGCTTATGGAACAAGTCCTCTGTGAGTCCGAAATGAGATCCTGTGACTGAGGTGCCCTGATACAGTGAGTGCACCCCTTCCTCACCTGCTGTTTTCTTCCTCCTGTTTTCAGTTTCAGGAGTGAGCCCTCTACCACTTTCTCACTGCTTATGCCTGTGAAGATCATGGAAGAATGAGAATGAGAAAGACTAGACAGTGGAACGCAGCACAGGGGAAGACAAAGGCTGAGCGACGGAGAAATCCTACGTTAATAAAGATGAAATTTTCCAAAGCTTTTTGGAGGGGCTGTTTTCCAGAATGGTTCTAAATATGCTCTACTTCATTACAATTGAACTTGAAAATGTTTTCAAAACTAACACAGGCACTGACACACAAACATACACAAACACATTCAGAGAAAAAGAAAACTATTCAAGAGTAAACTTCCTCAAGGAAAAACAGTAGGAGAAAATAATAAATGCATTCTATTTAAATATAGCATGTAGCTGCTTTTCCTTGTGTTCATTCCAAAGTATAAGAGGGCAACGTCTGATCTTGTGAGGGAAGAAACTGGGTTATCCAGCTCTCCTCAGAATCCCAGGCACAGGTCACCAAGCTGCCCAGCTGACCACGCAGAGCTCGGTTTGTGGTTTCAGTCGTGTTGTCGGGGGAGAAACATTTTCCTATACTGAATCAGTCAGAGGGGGAAATCATAGCCTAAAAGAATTGTTACCCTTTTAAAGAAAATTCTAAATGTATCCCTTTGTCGCCTTTGTCTAGCTTTGTCTGCATAGCAACAGATATTGTTGGACCTTGGAAATCTTACCTATTTACCAAACACAGTTAGATGAGACTTACCTCTGATATAATTTCTTCAATGACCCAAACATATTTACCAAATATATTGCTTGGCTCTCCTGTTGCTGGGACAAAATGCAGTCACCCGCACTTGGAAGAGGAGAGATTTATTTGGTTTACAGACTTAGAGTGTTCAGTCCATAGCTGGCTGGCTCCTGGGTAGAAATGAGACAGTGGAAGCCCATGGCAGCCAGAAAGAAGTGAAGAGCCAGGAGAGAGGCACCTTCCATGTCGCATCCCTGGTGACCCGCAGCCTACAACCAGACCCCACTTCCTAACAGCACGTTCAGCTGTGAACTCATCCATGGAATAATCCACAGATGCGTACAGTATCCTCAGGGTCTGGTCACCTTTCCAGTTTCTCTGAACACATGAGATTTTGCGGGGAGACATTTTTGATGTAAACCATAATGCCACACACTTACCATGTGCTTGTGAGACATCAAAACTGTTGCCATGGGACAGACAGACACAGTTACTAACCGCGCGGATATGAGAAAGAACTTGCATCCCAGAGAACACAGCCACGTCTGTAGCCCTGACCAAGGGATGTGTGATACCCCTCCTCTGTGAGCTCCCTCTGTGAGCCAGTCCCCAGCACTGCACTCGACCACAAAAGGAGAAGGAAAGAGCAATAAGAAATCCACAGTCCCACTTCCTCTCTGCACTTGTTTACTTGTCAGAAGGCTGAGGTAAATGTAAATGTGCCAAAAAGATAAATAAAAACAAATATTACTTTTGTGCAGCATTTCCGTTTTCTGGTAGAATAGAATAGATGAGAATATATGAACTGTGAAATACAAATTGGGTAATTTATGTGGTTCCTCATACTAATTAAACACTCATGTTTGCATTTAAAATTATCAGACACTATAAATAGGAAATGTAAAATCTCTGTAATTCAAAATGCTTTTCAGGAAAACAATAAATAGCAAATAAGATATAATTATGCAAGCAAAGAAAGGTAAAAGTTGTATATTTTAGCATTCTTGAGAGTGCTTTTTTTCTTTTTTGAACAAGAAGCCCTGCACTTTCATTTTGCACTGAAAAATGAAATTATGCAGTTGGCTTTGACCATGTCCTTTCCTGAGATGGGTCTAGGATTCTTTCTTCTTAAGGAATTGCTCCCCCACCCAAATTATCAGACTGGCCAGAAGGCTCAGGACTGTTCATGTAGGCAACAAAGTTGCGTTCTCTTTTCCATGGTGACTGTGGGCAACTACAAGGTTCTAGCTATTTAGCTACACGCCTGTGTTGCTTTGGGGAACACGTCTGCTCCGTGACTTCCACACAGAAGCAAAGCACTGACACCCTTTGGTGGCTCATGTCTCTTGTGTAATTCCCAGAGATGCCAGTACTCACAAATTTAGTTATTCTGGCTTTGTTCTGTCTCCTATCACATGCCTGTTTCCCTGAGAAGAGACGCTACTAAAGTTTTTTCTGCTGTATCTCCAAAAGTCTGTCATTGTTCTATGGTCACCAAATACTGTTTTCAAACCCTAACCCTAACCCTAACCCTAACCTCTAGGCTTAAAGAATACCAACTCAACAATACCCTGTATCTATTTGTCCTGAACTTTATAATACAAACTTGAGTTAAAGTTGGCTAGCCTTTATACTTTCCTGGAATTTTCATATTCCTCAAGGAAACTCTGTTAGTAGGCCAGTGCTTAATTGAGTTTGTTATAGATTACTTTCAAATAAACATAATACTAGGAGTAAATACGCTATGTATCAATAGCATGAACTCACCACACTTTTCATCGTTTCTTTTTATCCTGAAAAAAATCTTCAGATTTTTCTTAACTTTTTAAAATCCAACATGATTTTATGTCTAACCAGATAAACTAAAATATTGCTTCTAATTAGTTTAAAAGTGACACTACAGAAAAAAATCAGTACCTGGGAACACAGCGAAGTCAGATGGGAAAAAAAATCACTTTACTGTTTTATCTCTTTTTTGTGTGCATGAAACCTGAGTGAATTACTGTGAAAGAATTAGGGGTATGCCATAATTTTTATGCCACATGCCATGAAAACATTAAATATTTATATGTTAAATATGTAGTAAGTTATGTTTAAAATAGCATTTGACAGAAATAATGACTTATAGTGGAACAAAGAAACTCATTTTTCCTTATTCAAAAGTCTTAATGTGAAGGTTTCTGACTCACATCAGGGATCCAACAAATCTGAAATATTTTCACTTTCCTTGCTTGGTGTGTGACAGCTGCTAATGCATCGACCATCACACACTTTGTTTGGGGTTGGACACATTGCCATCTCTAGCGTAATTATGATTCACATATTTATTAACATTACCAAGAAAACACAGGGACAAATACCATTATTTATGGTAGCCCAAATTTATGCCTAGCCCATTGTAATCATTGGTATTTTTGAAATAATTTGTTGATTAACAGAGGCATTGTTTATTATTGGATGCAAGTTTCTACACTAATGCTTTTCTTAGAATTTTGAATTTTATCTATAAACGCTGGTGTCTTAAAATCATAAATACCAAAATTAGTTAATTAAAAGTACAATCCTTGTTGCAAAATTGAAAATCGATAACAAAAAGAAATAGAGAGTATAACCTTCCCTGGATATTTTAAATTTTTAAATGTGCACTTTTTGGCTTGAACACGGAAATCTGGTGAAAATTCGATTATTGGTAACGCAAATAACACCAACCAATTGAAATATGTATTGAAACAGTATGCAAAAGTTTCAAACAGAAATAAAACAGCCTCTGTCCACAGGGTGGGAAAGTGACTAGACATATTTTGGTACTAGAGGAGTGGGTTATTGCTGTGACTGCACATGACCATGTGGTTTAGAACCCTTTGACCCTGGTCTGTGGGAGGGTTTTGGGAAATTTTGAAGAACCTAGAGAAGGCTTAGAATGCTGACTTTTTCAGAAGAATTCCAGCAGATACTTTCTTCTTTAAAAAAGAATTTGTTTCCTGGGATAGAGTTTCACTATGGTAGCCCAAGCTGGCCTTGAACTTGTGGCGATCCTCCTGCCTCAGACTCCAAAGTACTGGGATTGCAGGCATAACACACCACTCCTGGCTTAGCACATATTTCTAAGCTTTATTTATCAGGATGGATCGAGACAGCCACACACAGTTGCAAGAGAGGCTAGTAAATTTGCTAATTTTTTTTCACAGTAATGATGCAGGGAGAGTGTTTTTGTTTGTTTGTGTGTTTTTTGGTACCCAGGGGGATCAAACCTAGGACCTTGCTCTTCCAGGCAGGCATGGGACAAATGAGCTACACCGTGAGTGTTTTAAAAAGAACTACACAAAATAAGAGAGAGAAAAATGGGGCGGGAAGGATCTTGAAAGAAGCTACCAAAAAAAGACTCATTATACATATATATATCAGAGTACAATAGGACTAAATAG